TGTCACAAACGTATTCTCAAACATAATCTGGCTTTGGGTATATATGCTACAGTATATCAGGATACTATAAATCTTGTATAATAATAATAATCATGATACTAACAAACTAATACACACCCTTTAGTGATAAACATGACAGAGTTACAAATGTATAATATTCACAGTTGCATAAAAATATTAAAGGGTATAACTACAGTTAGCAGTAAAATATCTGTTTTATGCCGTTTAAGAACAGTTATTCTGTAAAAAAAAAAAAAAACACCTTCTTATTTTATACCCGATGATTAAATCAGTCCTTAGAATCTCATCAATCTCAAAAGGCAATTTTACGGAAGATATGAAGTCATCCACATCATTTGGCCTAAGCGGCTTTAGCTATAAATATTAAAAACATATTTCTTATCTCACAAAAATAGATAATAGAGTTTAAAAAATAGATGGCCTTTCAATATTTGTCAAGAATATCCTCATAGGTGATCTTTATGTGCCAGCAGTAAACATCAAGCACCTCAGAGCTCTAAATATATACTGCATATTGACTGTGTCTGTCCTACTATTTTCATGTTCCTTCTGAGTGTTTCTTGTGCAGAAACTTTACAACACGTACCCCAATTACACATTTTGCAGTTCTCTTTTTGCTTTGCATCTCATTTTATACAAATTGTTAGGGTTAGTTACAAAAGTATGACCTCTCTTAATGCCTTAAAAGGTTAATAATGATTCTTCTCCATTTTATGTTTCTTTCATGTTTATTCATCTATACATTACATTTTATATTTTTTGCTAAATTTATGAAACATTTATTATACAAACAAAAAGTTTATAAAGACTGTATCCATGACACTGGTAACACAGATCAGTGTGGGCTTTCTAAAGGAAGAACTCAACATAAATTGTGTGCTTTCAAATTTTCTGACTTGCTCTGATTAAAACCTGTGCTTCACCATTACAACACAGCAGGAAGGGCAGGAAATATTCTGTGGCTAAGTCTTAACTTACGCTATTGAGCTTTGTAAACAACAAAGCAGCTAAGAAAATACAGGTAAATGTGTAAGAAGGAGCCTCAACTTGCTGGCTGTAAACATATAACATATTAAAAGAGAATTAAGACCAAAGTTTATTTGCTCATACTTTTCTTGTGGTTCACAGGAGTGCACTTAACCACTTGCCGATCAGCCTATGGTCAAATGACGGCCAGGTAAACAGTTCGACCCTACTTGAGGGCGTCATATAATGTCCTTCCCGGATCGCGCTTTTTCTCATGCCCGTAGGGCTGCGCTGTGGTGAGACCTGTCACCGGCAGTGTACCTCGGACACGACTGATGAAAGACCTGTGTACCGGCCCCATTGCCAATACCATGTGACCTGATGTGACCAATCACAGCAGGTCACATGACAGTTGTATACAATGGATAGCTTCCTTTCATGCCATACATTGTATACAAGTGTGTCTAGCTGTGAATGGTCATAGCGATCACATGCACAGGCTGGGCCAATCACAGCCCATCTGTATCATGTGATTAGCCATGGCCAATCACAGCTAATCAAAATAAAAAAAACCTGAATGAATCGATTTCATCCAGTTAAATGCTTGCTTATAGCAAAGAAATTCTTTGCTATAAGCAATCAAATCAAAAAAAACAAAAATACAGATCACTTCCTAAAAGTAGTACAATGTTACTATGGTAACATTATACTACTTTGGTCATAGTGCAATATGAGAAAAAAAATCTTCAAAAAAGAGAAAAAAAATAAAATAAAATTGAAACAAATTCTAATTTTTTTTTTCATACTTTCACCAGTCAGTGTCCCTGATCACCACCATGCCAGTTATATGCTGACGCTGTACTGCACTGGTGACAGTATGTAAAAAAAAAACTGGGGAAAATAATTTTTTTAATTTCTTCATTTTCCGAAAAAACTCGCCATGCTTCAGTACTTCAGGATTAATCAATTTTCAGATATATTCCATAGTTTGTGAACCCGATAACTTTCCTACAGACTAAGTAATAAATAATGATTTGGGTTATTTTCACCAAAGAAATGTAGCCGAATATATCTTGGCCTATATATATGAAGAACAATTATTTATTTGCAAACTTTTATAACAGAAACAAAGAAAAAAACGTGTTTTTGTTTAAATTTCCGGTCTTTTTTTGTTAATTTAGCAAAAAAAAATAAAAACCCCAGTGGTGATTAAATACCATCAAAATAAAGCTCTAGTTGTGTGAACAAAATGATAAAACATTAGTTTGGGTACAGTGTTGCATGATCGCGCAATTGTCATTCAAAGTGTGAGAGAGATGAAACCTGAAAATTGGCCTGGGCAGGAAGGGGGTAAAAGTGCCTGATATTGAAGTGGTTAATTTTGCTCTCCTGTGACCCAGAATCAGCTGACCTGGCGAGCTGCTCCTAGCTCTAGAACGATCCTGACAATTTTGTCAGGATCGATCCAGCTGCCTGATTGATAGTGATAGCTGTGGGCTGAGAGCCGGAGCCAGCTGTGCCTGCCCTCTTCCTTGCCCAGTGCTTCAGTAAGCGCTGCAGGAGCAAAGCAGAGAGCGGTGACTGACAGTCACCGCTCTCTGCTCTGAAAAGACCAGAAACTGAGCAATCAGCAGTTATTTGAGCACTCATATTTTGGTCTTAGAGCTGACATAAGACAACTACAGCATCACACCAGTGCTGCAGCATAGCAGTGAGTATATTAGTTTTTTTTTTTTTGCAAACCCCAAACTTCTTTTAATGTATGATATTTAATACCTGAAAGTATTATTAAACAATTCATTTTAATGTAGTAAATATAGAATTTACAGCAGGTAAAATAAGTATTGAATATGTCACCATTTTTCTAGGTAAATATATTTCTAAAAGATGTCATTGACATGAAATGTTCACCATATGTCGTTACCAACCCATACAATCCATACATACAAAGAAACCAAAACAAATCAGTTCAGAAATTAAGTTATGTGTAATAAAATGGAATGGCATAGGGAAAACGTATTAAACATGCTAAGTGAAATTTATTTAATACTTCGTACAAGATCCTTTGTTGGTAATGACTAATAATTTAGTCATTTAAGAACTGTCAGGCTGATGGAGCTGTCAGATGGTGAGAGCCAGCGTAGAGAGCAAACCTTTTTTTTTTCTTCAATTTTCAGGTCGAGTATCATGATTGACGATGGATCTACAGCAGGGGACTTTTTTTCATTTTTGTTTTTTAAATAAAGAACTTATCAAAAACTGCCTCCTGTGTTTTTTTTTACTACAATTTTTTTTGGGGGGGTGAATGAGTAGGGGTACCATGTAAAGGGATCTGGGGGCCTCTTGATAAAGAGGGCTTTCAGATTCCGATAAGTCCCCTGCTTGCAGACCCCCCACAACAACCACCCAGGGTTATGGGGAAGAGCCCACCTGCCCCAAAGCACTCACCCCATGTTGAGGGCATATGGCCTGATATGGTTAAGGAGGGGGGGGCACTCACTTGTCCCCCTCTTTCCTGACCTGCCAGGCTGCATGCTCAGATAAGGGTCTGGTATAGACTTTGGGGGGACCCCACATCATTGTTTTTTTTATTTTGGCGTGGGGATTCCCCTCAAAATCCATACCAGACTCCAAGGGCTTGGTATCGATGGAGGGGGACCCCACGCCATTTTTTAAATTTTTAATTGCCGTCAGTTCTTTTTTTTACATTTTGCTGTCAGTGGGGAACCTGCTGACAGCTGATACATTACCACATGTTTTCACTACTAACATACTGCATGTCTTAATAAAATAACTCATGTGGTATTTTAGTAGTGGTTTTTAGTGAATGCCAATGTTTTTTTTTTTAAAATGCTCGGATGCAGTAAGATACTGCTTAGTGAATTGTCCCCACCATACTGTAAAGAGAAAGTATAACTGAATCTGCAGTACTTTGTAGCCCCTCAGAAATATATTAAACAATTATTATTATTATTATAATAATTCTTACCTAATAAAAATGGTCACCGTGCATATCAAACTAAAACAATTATTTAATTATTAAAGTATTATTTAATTAAAATTAAAAGTCTACAAATTAGTTCTTCTTGGATATCAGCTTTATTCTTCACATTAATCATCCTGATTGTCATATACATTTTATTTGAAAATGATGCTATGTCTGTGGTCATCAGGATTGAAACACAGCATGATTCCACGTGATTAAATGTTAATTTCATTTCTTTATGCAGCCCTATGATTAACCCAGTAAATATGTCCACAGAACTTTTCTGACTATTGTTTTTTTAAAAAGTAAGAGGAAACTACAAGGTTTCTAAATATAACAAAAGGAGCACATAAAAGAAGTTCTTTGTTAATCTGTTTGATAAGTGATTGTAAACTCGAAAGAGCAGGGCCCTCAATCCCCTCATGTTTTGTATTGTTTTGGTATTGTTCTGTCAGATGTTCTGCCCCCCTTTGTAATGTACAGCGCTGGGTGAACTATTGGCGCTTTATAAATACTGTATAATAATAATAATAAGTGGAAAAAAATGTAGATTTTTTTTCAGAATTCCAGAGCTGCCTGTGTCCTCTGCGTGCTTCCTGTGTTTTCTCAGACAACACTCCTAGTTCTGCTTTTGGTCTACAGAATAATTAGCCCCTACGTTGTAGAGATATAAAAGTGTGAGTAGTTTAGCAAAAGAAAAGTGCGAGGGCTGATACCCACAAAAATGCTGTGTATTGTCAGCCCACACTAACCGTGTGTGCATGCCCCTGGGGGCGTGCAGCGTGGCGATCAGTGGTGAGCTGTGTCCCTGGGACACAGCGGATCACCGATCAGTGGAAATGGTCGATGACTTCAGCTCTGTCATGCGACCAACTGTGTTCAATCACAGCGGATCACATGTAAATAAGGAAATGTTGGTTATCGGCATTTCTCTTCTCCCGAGATGTCACGCTGACAGCTCGTGAAGAGAAGAGAGCCAGCAATTGGCATTCCTCAGAGGGGACATCTACACTAATCATCAGGGCTGCCTATCAGTGCCAGTCAGTGCCACCTATCAGCGCCAGTCAGTGCTGCCTATCAGTGCCGCCTATCAGTGCCATATATGAGTACTGCCTTTCAGTGCCCATCAATGATGTCTGTGAATGTCCACCAGTGATGCCTGTCAATGCCCATCAGTGCCACCTACCAGTGCCTCCTCATCAGTGCCCATCAGTGCCTCCTCATCAGTGCAGCCTATCAGTGCCCATCACTGCAGCCTCATTAGCGCACATCAGTGAAGGAAAAAAATTACTCATTTACAAAATGTTATAACAGAAACTAAGAAAAACATTTTTGTCTTAAATTTTTCAGTAGTTTTTGGTTTATTAAAAAAAACCCAGTGGTGATTAAATATCACCAAAAGAAAGCTATATCTGTCTCAAAAAAATGATAAAAATGTCCTATGGGTGCAGTGTTGCATGACCACGCAATTGTCATTCAGCTCTGAAAAGCTGAAAATTGGCCTAGGCAGGAAGGGGGTGAGAGTGCCCCGCAGGCAAGTGGTTAAAAAAAACTGTCTGACTTATTCAAATATATTGATCACCAATTTGGTGTATGTTCCAGCAGGAACTGACCAATAGTTCTCTGGGAATATATACTTATTGTCAGGGCTCTGTCCTTGGCAGAGGTGTTAGGAGACCTGGTACCCCTGCCAGTACCTTGAATGGCCGCAGAAGTTCACATCGGCTCAAATTTGGCTCCAAACGGCCATATAAGGAAGCCCTGCCCTACTCTCAGGTGCTGGTTGATCTCTGGCTTCCCAGTACCTTGTTCCTGTTGCTGTGCTATTGTGATCTGTGATTTTCTGATACCCACTCGGCTTGCTCTTGGACTGTCTTCTCTGCTTAACCACTGATCTGACCTCTGCTTGGTTAACGGATATTCTCTCTTGCTGCTCTGTGTATGACCTCGGCTATCCCATGTCATTATGGAATTCAAGGACACTTACAGATGAGATTATGATTAAGCTTTTTCCCATTAGTATCCATTACTGAGACAACTACATCACTTCCCGTTAGCAGAATGGATCCAATTCTCCTACAGCGATTCTGGGAAAACAAATATTTTCTACTGCAAGGGGCAGGCTCAGTCTCTTGGTGCGGGATTCAGAACTAGATGCAGGGAGATTGTTGTTCTCCTCAAAAAATAGATTATGTGAGACTCTGAGAAGCGGTTCTGCATTGATGTGACACCAATTGCCACACCAAGATTGGATCAGTCTTTCTCTGCACTGGGACTGTCACTGTCCAGCCCCTACACAGACATCGCTGTTCGCTATGCTGGCAGGCTGTCAGGCTGTAAGTCTACACATCTTTATTGAATTATCAGTAAGAAAATGTTTATAGGCCCCACTATTGCTAGCAGAAGACAGCAGATACCACCCTATTAGTGACTTTTAGCATCACAGGACTCAAGTTTCTAGTTACTTCTAGTTACTCAAGTGGCTGTTCCTTGATTGGGCGGCCAGTTATGTGTGTGGGAAGGGAGATGTTTTCATTTCTTTTCACCATTTATTGGCCTACTTAAGTTGGACTAGCAGGTCTACATTTTAGCTCTGAGGAAGGGGGTTCGTCTCCCGAAACGCGTTAGCCTATCCCATATAGGTGTTTGAATCAATTGGACTGCCCTTGCGGATTACCTGTTCTGTTTTAAACTTTTTGGTTTGGGAGTATATTTCTACTATTTTTCAAAAAATATGTGGTGTACCACGTTAATGCACGATGGGAGTGCGCCCTTGTTTGTTTTTGTTCATACTCAGCCCATTATTCAAATTTCAATGAACCCGGGATAAAGCATCCACATTTCCCATCTGAACTCCAGGGCGATGCTTTACGGTGAAACGGTGAAGTTAAATTCTTGCAGGGCCAGGAACCACCTATTCACCCTTCTATTGGTCTCTTTATTTTGAGCCATCCATTTCAAGGGAGCGTGATCCGTGACCAGGTCAAAATGTCTGCCTAGCAGATAGTACCACAGGGAATCTATAGCCCACTTTACTGCTAAACATTCCTTCTCAATCGTGGCGTAATTTTCCTTGTGAGACTTAAGCTTTCTGCTCAGGTAAATTACCGGGTGCTCCTCCTCCTTCCAAACCTAGGACAACACTGCTCCTAAGCCAACATCGGATGCATCTGTCTGGACCACAAAGTCTTTTGAGAAGTCTGGTGAGTATAGCACTGGCTGGCTACATAAGGCCCTTTTTAAAGACTGGAAGGCTGCTTCAGCCTCTGAGTACCACTTAACCATGACAGACTCCTTCCCTTTTGTCAGGTTGGTTAGGGGCACTTCCAGAGAAGCAAAATGGGGGATAAATCGCCAATAGTAGCCAGCAATTCCTAGAAAAAGCCCATACCTGCTTCTTGTTATTTGGGTGTGGCCAACTCTGTATCGCTTCAACTTTGTTGATCTGAGGTTTTTGTGACCCCTCTCCCAATAGTGTACCCAAGATACCTGGCCTCTTCCTGTCCAATAGTACACTTCTTTGGGTTGGCCGTAAATCCAGCTTTTTGTATTGAGTCTATTACAGCCTGAACTTTTGGTAAATGTGAGGCCCAATCTGCGCTATGGACAATCACATCGTCCAGGTAAGCTGCAGCATACTTCTGATGGGGGCGAAGAATTTGATCCATTTTGCGCTGAAAGGTGGCCGGTGCATTCTGTAACCCGAACGTCATTCTTCTATACTGGAGTGACCCTTCTGGGGTTACAAATGCAGTCTTCTCCTTTGCTGACTTAGCTAAGGGAATCTGCCAATATCCTTTGGTCAAATTGAGCGTCGTCATGTACCGGGCTGCTCCCAGTTGGTCGATTAATTCATCTATCCTCGGCATGGGGTAGGTGTCAAACTTTGTAACTTTATTTAACTGTCGGCAGTCGTTACAAAATCATCAGCTCCCATCCGGTTTGGGCACCAACACTATGGGACTGGACCAGTCACTCTGGGACTCCTCTATCACCCCCAAATCCAGCATTCTATGCACTTCCCCGCGTATTGCCTCCCGACGGGCCTCTGGGATTCTATAGGGTTTTAGTTTTACCCTTTCACCCGGTGGGGTGATAATGTCATGCTCCACCCCAGAGGTTTGTCCCAGCAGCTCAGAAAAAACGTCTGGGTTGCGGAGCACAAACTCTTTAACTTCCTGTTGTTGAGTGGTAGATAGCGTGACTGCTATTCCAACCTCCGGAACCAAGCAGTCAGATGGCGCTGGTGACAAAGCCTCTGCAACTAGGGATTCCCTGTCCCTCCAGGCCTTCAACAGATTAATGTGGTAGATCTGTTCAGGTTTTTGCCTTCCTGGTTGTCTGACCCTGTAATTCACCTTGCTCACTCTCTCAATTTTACCTCGTAGGGGCCATGCCATTTGGCCAGGAATTTGCTTTCAACCGTAGGGATTAGCACTAGCACTCTTTCTCCTTCGGCAAACGACCTGGTCTATGCCCCCTGATTGTACACCCTCTGCTGTGCTAACTGCGCTTGGGCCAAATGTTCCTTTACACTCGGCATTACCTGGGCAATTCTATCTTTCATTTGGGCAACGTGCTCAATCACACTCCAGTGGGGGGAGTACTCTCACTTTCCCCATGTTTCTTTGGCAATATCTAACAGCCCTCTTGGGTGTCTCCCATAGAGCAACTCAAAAGGTGAAAACCCTGTAGAGGACTGGGTACCTCCTGGATGGCAAACATCAAATAGGGTATTAAATAATCCCAACCCTTTCCATCCTTATCTACCACCTTCCTTAACATTTGTTTCAGGGTTTTGTTGAACCTTTCAACCAACCCGTCTGTTTGGGGATGATACACAGAGGTGCGCAATTGTTTTACCTTGAACAGTTTGCACAGCTCTTTCATCACCCAGGGCATAAAGGGGGTTCCCTGGTCTGTAAGCAGTTCCTTTGAAATAACCACTTGGCTGAAAACGAGAAATAACTCCTTAGCTATCGTCTTGGCAGAGGTATTTCGGAGCGGAATCGCCTCTGGATAGCGGGTGGCATAGTCGAGTATGACCAACATGTACTGATGCCCCCTAGCGGACTTCACCAGCGGACCTACCAAATCCATTGCAATCCTTTCAAAAGGGACCTCAATGATGGGAAGAGGTACGAGTGGACTACGGAAATGGGGCATAGGGTCTGACTTCTGACACACAGGGCAAGAGGAACAGTAATTTTCTATCTCCTTAACGACCCCAGGCCAATAGAACTGCTGCAATACTCTTTCCCGTGTTTTCTCCACCCCCAAATGACCCCCAAGGATGTGTCCATGAGCCAACTCCAACACCAACTTCCTGTAAGGCAGTGTTTCTCAACTCCAGTCCTCATGGACCCCCCAACAGGTCATGTTTTCAGGATTTCCATTATTTTGCACAGGTGATTTGATCAGTTTCACTGCCTTAGTAATTACCACAGCTGTTTCATCTGAGGGAAATCCTGAAAACATGACCTGTTGGGGGTCCATGAGGACTGGAGTTGAGAAACACTGCTGTAAGGTCTGGGCACCACCAGTTGCTCAATGGTTTCTTCCGCTCCTTGAGTGACTCAATAGAGTAGGTCCCTTTCCACAAGGAAGTACGGATAATCACAAGTTTTCTCTGGGCTCACTAGTTCGCCATCTAGTTTTACTACATTTTCCCATGCTTTTATCAGTGTTGGGTCTTTCAACTGTTCGGTGGCAAAAATTTTCCCTATGAACCTCTAAGTCTGAAAACTCAACAGCCAGCAGGTTTTCGTCTGAAGAGGCAGGCTCCTCCCCAGTTCCTTGGGTCTCCCCGGCTAGTACCGACAAAGGGAACTTGGGAGAGACCTCATCACACTCAGAGGATTTCTGGGGTTCACCTTCCTGGTCTGAAGGGGAGACCGTGGGGGGTCAGGACAATCCCAGAGTTCCCAGAATTTTGGAAAATCCCTCCCCACAATGGCATCATGTGGTAAGTGAGGCACCAACCCTACCTGATGAGACAGGTTACCTTTCGGGGTCTTAAAAAACACGGTTGCCACTGGATACTCCCTGGTGTTCCAATGCACACAAATAATAGCCACCATTTTATACCCAGAGACCTCTGTAGTGACTATTTCCTCTCTTATCAAGGTTACCAGGCTACCTGAATCCAGCAACACAACAACATTACTTCCATTAATAGTCATTTTGCACAAATGTTTCTTGGTGCATACCACTGTCGCAAACAGCGACTGACGTCTGTCCCTCAGAAAGTCACACTGCATAGGCTCATCCACCACTGGGCAATTGGCTGCAATATGTCCCTCTTGCCAGCAGCG